CTCCCTTGGAAATGAAAATCCATTCCAATTGATTCGGATTCCAATTTCCGTCTGAATCAAACAGGCAAGGGGAATAGACCATTCTCATCCCAATTCCAACCGGATTTTGATTCCGACTGTAAATCAAATGGATCTCCAATTGAGCAGAGATTTTGGAATCAAAGCATAGAAAACAACATGGGATCTCAATGATCAGAGAGCGGCACCGGGGCCCAGGGGCCATTACTTTGGGGATGATGGAGATACCAACCCCACCACACACACAAATAAAAGATTACTGGCTTCGTCCCTGTCAATGATGAAGAATGTTAACAGAACAGGAAAATGACATTGAAAGCTACCACAGTCCACTCCAGATATGGAGAAGCTCTGGGATACATGGATTTTAAGAAACATTAGTTCTACGGGTACAATTTGGGTTGGCTTGGGTTGGGAATGTGTCTAATTTTAACTAGGGCCCCACACTTGAACCAATGCAAGAATTCTTCAAATCGGGCAACCCGACTCTCGTAGGGTGCTGGATTGAACCCAAAATGTTGGGCTTAGTTCGAGACAGGCTAGTCCTGGGCCTACAATCAATGTAAGGTCGGGATGGGCCTGGGCTGATGCCAGTGCCAGCCCAAATTCGTACCAAGTACTCAACTACTCATCTTTAGTATCTTCCGTTGATTGGAAACGGACTGTGCCAAGTTACCGCCATTAATAAGTTGCCATTTTGTGGGTCGCAGTGAAAAATTCGAAGAGTTGGGTCGATGATCTTACAATGCGGGTGGCCTGCCCACAGCTGTAATTCGTCTCCATCTAAGATATTCCAGAGAACATAGTGAATGAGGAAAAAGAGATGGAGATACAGAGAGAAAACTTGGAGAGCTTGCTTCGTTGGAGGCTTGGAGCTATTCATCAAGAATGAGAGTATACTAGTTAAGGGCTTTGGTGAAGTAGATAATTGCCGAAGGCCACCCTTTGGGGGAGGAAACAGAAAATGCACAAACAGCAACATGAGGCTTGATGGGTAAAGCTGCTATTAGTTGTATGTAACCTGGTAAGGGGCTAATTATCTGACTCTTGTTGTGACAAGGAGTGTCAAAGTCTTGGATGGAAGTTTGTATTAATGTTCAACTTGCATTATCATCTAAAGCTACTTTTGGAACCTACTTTCTTAATTTCTCTGCTTCTTTGTTGTAATAATTTTCTGTTTTGGCCATGGTATCTTGATGGAGAAGATTGTTTTTGAAGTTAATGTGTTTTCAAGGGGGTTTTCTCCAATGTGAACTGTTTTTCTTGTTATGAGTTTCCAAAACAATGATATTGCATTTTCATTTTCTTTGTGAAAGACTATGTTGCATTATTTTTCAACTAGGGTATGAAAACATCTAAAGTGTGTGATATTTCCTTCTGCTCTCTTTGTTTTTTATCAAATATACAGACACGGGATTCAAGTCCATTCCACTACTTTGCCTTTGAAGCTGTTCTTTGATGATGCACAATGTCAATGAACCTTCTTGATTCTTCTAGGGAACAAATCGCCACAGATCAACAGCAATATCAACCTCTTTCTTCTTGTGAAATTTGTAAAGTTGAGGTACATCAAACCGAAGCTGAAAAAGGATAAGTAAACCATATGCCAGTAAGATAACTTGACAGGTACATAATAGCTCATGCAAACAAGATCTGCAACTGAACTCTGCTAACTAAGCAATATTCAATCATGAAAGTAAAAGAGTGAAAATGCAGACATTAGCACATTTCTTGTATAAATCACCACAATCCAGAATGTTAAATAGACAAAGGGAACTCAACACAAATATCATTTTCCATACCTCACATAAAACCTCAGCACTTCTAGCATTCAAATCCCGTAAAGCTGTTTTCTTCACATGCTACAACAACAAGAGAATGGGGAACAAATAAAAGAGCTTGTCATCATATTCACAAGAAAAATCCTCTTAAACAAATACACCTGTGGCTACAAACTCCAAACGGATGCTAATTCCATGGTTTGACAACAGATTCACATTTAAGATGAAAAACTTCAGAAAGGAATGTTTTCAAAACCAGACCGGACCAGACGGTCGGACCAGAAAAACCGGGAACCAGTCATCTGACCAGTCCTGTTTTACCCCAGAACCGTCTTTTGGCCAAAAACCGTTGATTTGGTCAGAAAACCGCTGACCCGGGCAGTTGAACCGTTCGAACCGTCCAACGGTTTTTGGCCTTTTTTTATTTTTTTGTCAGAATGGGCCATCCGTTCGGTTCAAACAGTCAGACCATTCGACCCGGGAACTGGACCCCTGAACGGTTCGTTGTCCGGTTCATTTTTTAAAACCTTGTCAGAAAGTATTAAAGGTCCAAATCAGTTTGCATGCGACCAAGATTTTCAAGCTCAGGAACACATAATGTATCCTAATAAGTCAAGGATTTCCAAAATGCGATAGAAAAGAGGATTTTTTATTTTTCTTTTTGATTGTTAAATGCAATAGAGCTTTTCAATCATCATATGAAATTCATGTGACTCAGTGTTTGTATGCGTATTTGCTTGTTTGTACATGTATCAATCTGTATTTGTGGTTATTTTTAGCGTGGTTAGGAAGAAGCTAGGACTGAACCCTCCAATTTTGTGGTTGCAATACAGAACAATGGAGCCACAGACTTTATCCTAATTCAAAGTAGACCATTAACCCCCCCACAACAGCAAATAACAGAGTTTTTTTTTTAATCCTTGACAACCTAGGAGATATCAGTAATGTAAAAGAGAACCCAATTATCAACAACTAACAGTAGGGATCAATCAGCTTGCTACTATCAACAAATAGAAAGCTGACAATCCCTTGTCCAAGCAATAGAGTTCTTCAACCGCATCTAGAGGCAATATACTAGTACACCTGAAAAGCAGGAATGAAACCTAATGAATGACTAGTGAATCCACCCCATATATGGATCAACAACAACATGTCAAAATAGAAATATGTCTAGAGACCAGCCAACCATACAAATGCAGTGTCTATATCACATTCTAATGTAGTTATGTCCTAAACAAAAATATGCATGCATCTTGAACAAGTAATCATCACAACTTAAAAAGGAAATAACTTTACATCTCTTGTTGTGGTTTTGTGCAAGGAATAGACAGCTTGAGAGGCAACCTGGCACAACAATTGATTTAAAATGACAAAATTAATCAGGAACCACTGTAGATAGAAGGCATTTAAGTAAAAAACATAAACAAAATACTCTGATCTTTACTTTCAAAGCAGTGGATAGAAAATCAATGTCAGCCCCCTTTTTCCGAGTTCCAAATGGAGGATTCATTACAACAGTGTCAACTATTTGGCCTACATTTAGAAAAAATGAGAAATTAGATGAAGGAACAATTCATGAACTTGAATGTTAAAGAAGCACATAAAAAATGACATGCTGTGAATACAGAATATTAATCTCACGAACAACTAAATCACTAAATCACTAAATCACTACAAAACATTAAAACATTATTCTTTAACTTCTCCCTCAGGAACAAGCTGGTGGCCACTATGAGGTGTATAAAGCATAAAGAAGGTTCAAGGATTGGCTAGTGAAAACTAAAGGGCATTACAAGGGTACAGTCGTACAAAGGCATTTCAAGCAAGAAAGTTTAAGATAATAGAATCTGATGCAGCATAGCCTCTCAAAGTGAAAGATTTATTGCCTCCATGAGTAAAGAAGCTCGCTAAGTTATCATTAGTAGTTTCCTTCACAGAAATGGTTCTCCTGAAAAGTTGAAACCTGATTTCCATAGTTCCAGCGTCTGTTGGATTCTTCCTGTAGCACTCCAGTTTGTATGTATTAGGGAACGAAAACACGAGGATCTGAAAAGCGATTGGCAAAAGGAGAAAACAGAGCACTCAAGGCACACACAAAGATTTACATGGTTCATCTTATAGCCTACATCCACGAGTGCCAAAGAAGAAGAAATCCACTATATAACAGTAGTGGAGATTACTATTGTAGTTTTCACAGCTTCTCACCAAGAAACCCTCCTCCATACAACTGAAACACCCTCTCATTTTCGTTCTTCAAGCTTAGGTACATACTTGCTCTCTCTTTTTGTTCTTCAAGATACAAGATGGCTTGCTGTGTAAGATACAATAAAATACCTATGAGAACCAAACCCTAACAAGGTTCATATAGGGTCTGATCCAATATTAATGCAGGTCTGTACCACGGGGGTTCCGCTTTGCCTTTGGGTTTTCTCAACATAATTCGGGACAGGCCAAGAAGAGAGTTGCAAACCAAAATTCAAGGCACCAAACTCAACAGTATGGGTAGAAACTATCCATGAAGACTGATAGGGTGCATATCATGGGACACAAATATATCCTTATTCTTGCAGCAAAAATAAAAAAAGCCCTTATTCATTTTCATGAGATTCTTTTAGCATAATACCACTTAAATCGAAAGCCCATCTCTTCTTCAAAAAGTATAACAAATCGCTAATTCGCTATTTGTCCATGGGTTTTAACATCTGACACAGGAATGTATTTCAAACATCAGGCAGTCCAAGGCTGCAGGGTAAGTCATTTTCCAATGTCTGTATTAACCAATGCATTTGTAGAACAGATAATATCAAGGTGAAAATTCTCGATTGGTTCATAGTGGTGGTCAAATTATACAGAATCTAAAATAAACTAAAATAATATTAGCAGCAAATAGTTTTAGGTTCTTCACCAATATTAATTTACTCCCCAATTAAGAGACTCAAGAGGGACAAAAAATCTTTCCATAAACATTGTTACAGTAGGAAGAAATGTAAGGATGAGAAAAGAGAGAACACCCTTCCCAGTTTGCGCTTTTTTTTGGTATTATATGGTACATGCCCCTCCCAGTATGCATGGAAAATGAGAAATAGACGCAAATTTACCTCTCCACTTCGAATTCCTGATGTCCCACAGAACAAGATCTATGTCCAACTGCCCGCACAATTAATTAACAAAGCAGCAATAGGGTCAGTTCAATATTTCCGTTGGACAAGAAGTCTACAAGCATTTAAGTCCATAGTCAAAGAAATTGGGTTCTCCCAAAGAAAGAAAAGAAAAGCATGAATTATACTATCAGGATCTTTCCCATCATGTAGCTGTTCAATCGACGCATTCATCTTCAACCATAGAAATAAAAGGCCAACGAAATATATTTTTCTTGGCGTGATTGTAGACAACCTACTGCAATAAAACTGGAAGTTGGAAGCAGAAATGGAACTACCTCAAGATCTTCTGCATTAAGTGAGGCAAGCTCAAGAGATTGAGAATCGATATCAACTCCTACGACGTACCTGTCAGCAAATTCAACCAAATTAACTCTGCACCTAATCGTGGTAAAAGAAACATAAAGCATGCCGAGGGAAAGAGGAAGAAATATTACTTACTCTGCCCCCAAAAGAGCACCTGCAATACCTAAAGTACCACAGCCACAACCAAAATCTGCTACCACCTTCCCACTTATATCACCAAACGAATTCTCAGCCTGTGTTTTCCAAACTATTAACAGTGTCAGAAACAATGCACCACAAGGACAAAATCCAATTACAGTGAATGGAATGATTAAGTTGACATCTCACAGTCTAAATTCAGAAATCAATCATCAAGTAAAGAAAAGGAAGAGCATGATACAATCAAAAAGGGGAAGATACTATCAAAGGAATACCATGTACAACATCCGAGATGCAATGTGGGGTCTTGTTGGGTATTGCTCCAGTTCCACCTAAAGACACCAAGCATTAGCTTCTTATCATTTACTTCAAATTCTTCCAACCCACCAAAGAAAACTACTTAAGATCATTTTGGGGCAATAAATAGAACTCATTCCAAGTAGAAACTCGCTTAATGAATTTGAACTCTGTGCATCTGGGTGTCTGAGTCTCAGAGAGGGGGAACAGAGAAAGAGAGAGATGAAAGTTGAAACCTTTGGATTGGAGAACTGCTGAAGATCTCCGAGAAGACCTTCTAATTGCTTGAGCTTCATCTTCGTAGGATTACAATTTTTCAAATCAGTGTAAAAGGGAAAAAGTGGAAGACAGTTTCAAATTTGTAGAACCCTAGCTTTAAGCAGGAATCCGAAAGGATACGACAGGGATATACTCGAATACGGACGGTTCTTAGACGAATCGGGTTGTTGTCGAATCTACATGAACCGGACCGAAAACAAGTACATGAACCATGGTCATACACATAAACATAGTTTTATTTTGGCTTCCCCGGCTAGGCAGACTGGCAGACTAGGCTGCATCGTGTCAATCAAAATATCGAGTTCAAATCAGCCCTCTACAGTATATTCCCACCGTGTATTGGGAACATCTCCCGATGATGATATTATCATTTTTAATATATAATCGGGAGATATTCTCAATAGACAGTGGGAATGTGCTGTGAGACTTGTGAGGGGCTGATCTGATTTCCAAAATATCAGCCACAGCTATATAACACATTTTAAGAAAAAGATATATTGTCCAATCATCAATAAACTAGGCTTTGATTTTTTTTTCTAAATTTATTTTTTTAATGTTTTAATTAGTTAATTACATTTAAAGATTAAAATATTTGAATAACTGTCAATTATAAGTATTAATTTTTTATGATATGGTATTAAGTTTTCGAGTAGAAGCAAGAAAGTGGAGTTTACATCGGCGCCCTACAGGCTACACAGCACATCCAACTGTATATTGGAAATACTTCCCAATGACAAAGTATAAGAGATGTTTCCATGCAAATGCATGCTAAGATGTGTACCTGGTCTCAAGAAAGTGGATTAAGTTCTCAAGACCTTATATTGGTATAAACATGAAACAACCTCTGATTTTTTTACCTATTAAATGGGTTTTTTCTACTCCAATTAAATTGAAATACATAAGGCAATGATATAGCACTAATGTGGCACTGAATAATGGATACCAGTGGTGAAAATGTTTCTTGGAGCATTGGTATCAAATAGAAAAAGTTGTTGCTCCAAAAAACATCCTACTTGACAACAACGATTTCAAACAAAAATAAAGGCACCATTTTCTAAAAAAGCAGTGGTTCCAACCACTCATTCTCAGCTGAATTATTCATTTAATGGTTATTGAATGGATGTTTAAAAAAATGTATAATAGACTGGTTAGGATTGGAAAAAAATGAGAATATGATCAATCTATAAGGATAATGCATGCAAAAATGTCTTGGTAGAAGATATGATTTCTTGGAAATAAGGTTTATACGTAACTGAACAAGAAATTTCTTTACCTATCCAATTTCTAACGAATCAAGATACCCATTCGTTCCAGTATAAATAGTCACACTCCCTCCCCCC